CTATCATCCAGGTTCAGTACATTGACGAGGTCTGGTCTCACAAGAACCCTATCCTTCCTTCTGATCCTTACCAGAGAGCTCAGGCTAGATTCTGGGCTGATTTCATTGACAAAAAGGTATCTAATTTCTTTGTGCCCTTGATTGTATAATGTTGATTTTGAATTGGGGATTTCATAAAAATTGAAACTTTATTTGAGTTTGCAAGTGAAACGCTTAGAGAAATTAAGCCCAAATTTTAGGGGTTTTTTCGCGTGTAGACTCATTTTTGAGCTTGTCAGGGTTTGTCTGATGTTGTTATGTGTGTAGGCTTAGAGATCTCACCCCCAAATTTTAGGGTTTTGCTTTGTAGACATCATCTTTGAGCTTGCCATGGTTTGTCTTAGATAGGTCTAGGGTCTATGTCATGTTACTTGTGCAAGTTGGGGATTTCAAATACCGGTTTTGCTTTGTAGACATCATCTTTGAGCTTTGTTTGGGTTCATTTGATATAGTTTGATGCTATGTTTCGTTTGCAATTTGGGGGTTTCTAGTACTGGTTTTGCTTTGTAGACATCATCTTTTAGCTTTGTTTGGGTTCGTCTGAGTTCTGACATAGCTTAATGTTATGTTACTCTGTGCAATGTTTCAGCTGTATGATGCTCAGAGGAAGGTGTGGGCGACAAAGGGTGAAGAACAAGAGGCAGGCAAGAAGGACTTCATTGAGATACTAAAGACTCTTGAATCTGAGCTTGGAGACAAGCCTTACTTTGGTGGCGATGATTTTGGCTATGTAGACATTGCATTGATTGGATTCTACACCTGGTTTCCAGCATACGAGAAGTTTGCTAACTTCAGCATCGAATCAGAGGTTCCGAAACTGATCGCTTGGGTTAAGAAGTGTTTGCAGAGGGAGAGCGTGGCTAAGTCCTTGCCTGATCCTGAGAAGGTTACTGAATTCGTCTCTGAGCTCAGGAAGAAGTTTGTACCTGAGTAAATCTGTTTCTCTTGTCATCTGGTTTGGATGCTCTCTGTTTTACTTTCCTATGATATCGTTCTTAAATAATGCAGAGCATCTGTGACTGTGAGGTGGTTTGAGTGTAGAGAATGTATGTCTTTGCTTTAGCAAATTCGTGTGTTTGCTTGAGTTTAAGGGTTTGTCCTTAATTTGTATGGATCTTAAGTATGAGTTTAATTAATGATCGTTAATCTCTTGTGATTTTACTTTGAAATGTAATTTTGTGCATACGTGAGGAGTGACTCTTCTAAAGCTTATCACGCCAATGTTGCTGTAAAAGACAATGGTGCAGAACTACAGATGGCCGATTAAAACTCCAATATTGAGAATGATGGGCCGGTATGGGCCTCATAAGCCCAAATTGGTATCCGTAAGTTCATATTGTAGTCAATTGAATGTTATGTGATGGATGTGATCATTATGTTGGTAATGATCAATCGAGTTTTTTATCGGATTCGCCACGGGTTTAGTGTTTCGCTTGCCGGATTTGAAATTGACAGATCAAATAACGTTACTCTCATCTGCATAGTTCATGGGATTTAAATTTGAATTTGACTTACGATTACAACAACTATATTAACACAAATAAGTACTCTCCTGTAATTTTGGGATCAATTTGTAAATTTTGAAATATTATTTTCAAAGGCTTTATATTTATAAATAACGTATACACACGTATATATAGAAAATTTGAAATATACACAAAGATAAAGCATTACATTTGTATGTATTTGTAAAATCATGGTGTATATGATATATTTCTCAATCAATAAGTATAGCTAATATCGCTCCTTGTGTAAATGTCCTTGTAATGTCTGATATCAAATCAAGGGAATCACGTGGTACTGAGAGATAATAATACAAACAACTGTGAGTAGGTGACCACGCCAAAAGTAGAGTGATGCAGCAACTAAGCAAAGTATTACTAATTCACTCGATCAACTTTTTATCCCATAACTTAAGTCGATTTCTATATTTGTCAAGTTCTAATTCCATTCTAATCTCTTACATCTAAGTTTAAGCTTTGAACCAGACCAAAAAGATATCACACTCTTCTATATTAAGTGAATGTTTTCACTAGTTGCACACATACATATTTAACAAAGTTGCAAAATACCGTTAAATCGTTAAGGGTAAAAGCTTTATATATGGACCGTATCCTTTTAAAAAAGCTGATGTGACGTAGCAGGTATCAAAATCCTTTCCATGTCATTATTTTCCCCTATAAAACAACCGTCACTCACACCTTCTTCTATACTATAACACATAGTCACTTGTTCACCACAACAAAAATCAAGAATATATACCACTTGTGAACTTCAGAGATCCTATATCAATGTTGAACCTGCCGATTCTTTTGGATTACTGGCCGAGTATGTTCGGGATGAGGGCGAGAGTTGCGTTGCGAGAGAAAGGTGTTGAGTTCGAATACAGAGAGGAAGATTTCTCGAACAAGAGCGCTTTACTCCTCCAAAGTAATCCCATTCACAAGAAAATCCCGGTTCTGATCCACAACGGTAAACCGGTTTGTGAATCTCTTAACGTCGTCCAGTACGTTGACGAGGCCTGGCCCGAAAAGAACCCGTTCTTTCCTTCCGATCCTTATGGGAGAGCTCAGGCTCGATTTGGGCCGATTTCGTGGACAAGAAGGTAACTAATCCCTTTTGTGCCCTAGATTTCTTAACTTGAGTCTGAAACAACTTGTTTCAGGGTATGAGTGTAGCCTGTCGATTTGAAAAATTTGAGTTGATTCCTCTGACATAGTTCGATGTTCTGTAATGGATTCAGTTCACCGACGCCCAATTCAAGATATGGGGGAAGAAAGGTGAGGAACAAGAAGCAGGCAAGAAGGAATTTATAGAGGCAGTGAAGATTCTTGAAACTGAGCTAGGAGATAAACCTTACTTTGGTGGAGATAGCTTTGGGTATGTAGACATTTCCTTGATTACATTCTCCAGCTGGTTCCAAGCCTATGAGAAGTTTGGTAACTTCAGCATCGAATCAGAGAGTCCGAACTGATCGCTTGGGCAAAGAGGTGCATGGAGAAAGAGAGTGTGTCTAAGTCTCTCCCTGACTCTGAGAAGATTGTTGCATATGCTGCTGAGTATAGGAAAAACAATCTCTGATCTGAGTAAATCTTGTGGTTCTCTTGTTGCTAAGCTGTGTTCTGTTTTTATCTTTTTTTTTTTTTCCCTAATAATGCGAGAGAGCCTTAGTGACTGTGTGTTGTGGTTTGTATCCATCCTTAAGTATGGAATTTAAATAAAATTTGTTTCAATGGTCGTATTCACGAAGTAGTTTAGTAGAATAACATCCTTTTCAAAAGGCAGACACAAGAAAAAGTTGGACTTCTTTTTTTTTTTTCACTTGTCCAGTATATACGAAAACAGTAGTAGCATATAATACAGAGCAATCAATAAAAGGAGGTGGCCACGTTACAATCATGCAAGAAGTAGTGGCTCTACTAAAGTAAGATTAAAGGAAATTTGGGTTCTCATTTCTCAACCAATTTTGGGAGGACATGGCAGACTAAAGCACTCTCTAAACTCCACTAAAAAGTTAAAACACCTCTGATCCATTATCACTATTATTAGGATTTGTTTTTTTTTTCTTAAGAGAATATAAATTGATCACTAACATAAAAGCTGGTCAGGTCCCTTACTTTGAGGCTTTGAGTGGAGACTCCACTACGGTGTGGCTCACCTACAACTTTTCTCTAATTATCTTTTTGTCACACTATTCAACCACCAAATTAACCCTATCATTTACAGGTGTGTTCTGTTGTTTTATTAATCAACAATACAATTCTATTCTAAACATATCGTCTCGATCATTCAATTGCTAGAAAAAAACTAGTTAAAGTTTCATATCCGTATAGCATTACTGTAGTCACCATTCATAAGTTGTACGAACTAAGAAGAAGCAAAGAGGAGATTTTGTATTATACTATTATTCATCACCAAAAAAAAAAAATATGTAAACCTTAATTTACACTCTGATCCAATTTTTTCAAAGGGTATTTATGATTATTTCTAACCAGCCGCATATAATTATTGATTTTGATATTTTATTTTTTCTGTTATGTTTAGCTCTTTGTTGTGTTGTGTTTTGTCGTTCCTGATAGTGCAGAGTATTTTGTAATTAGTTAGGTGGAGTCTTGTTCTGAAAATCGGATGCTCTGTTTCGACTAAACTTTGAACCATCACTAGGAAATGTTAAACTTCTCTGTCATGACTACTCTACTAGACAAAAATTGTGATTTTCCTCTCGGCAAAAAGATTGTATATGCATCTATAAAATATTTTAAAACCTTGATTTATCAGACTGCTATTTTTTCAAAAGGTAACGTATCAAACTACTCTGTTTAAATATGTATGGTTTCTCTAACCAGCCGTATAATGTATCTCATATCTTAATAGACCAGTAGCAGCATTATTATAAAGTTACTCGAAGACTAATTAAAGAAATTATAAATTACCCCACTTTGATTTATTAAAACGGTTTAATAGGGTTGGCCAAAAACATTTAATAAATGATATGTTACCCTCTTATAAACAGCCTAAAGAGGAAGCTACACATTTAATAAGAGACGACTCAAGAAAGAAAAGCTTCACGGATCGCAACAATGGCAGACGAAGTGATCCTTCTGAATTTCTGGCCGAGCATGTTCGGAATGAGGACGATGATCGCGTTAGAGGAGAAAGGAGTGAAGTATGAATATAGAGAAGAGAATGTGATCAATAACAAGAGTCCCTTGCTCCTAGAGATGAATCCGATTCACAAAAAGATCCCGGTACTCATCCACAATGGTAAACCGGTTTGTGAATCCATCATCCAAATCCAATACATAGATGAGGTCTGGTCCGAAAAGAACCCATTCCTTCCTACCGATCCTTACCAAAGAGCTCAAACTTTATTTTGGGCCGATTTCATCGAAAAGAAGGTAACAACAAGTGTCTATAAATTTTAGTCTCCTATGACTCTAATTTTTTTTCTTAGATGGATTTGCAACTACATATCAATTGGTAAAAAGTGAATTTTCTTTCTCTTATAACGTGGAATCCTTAATGGTATATATTAGACGAATAAAATATATTAAATTTGCAATTTAAAGATTTCAGATCAAATTCTAGGGTTAATTTGCTTGTAACTCATGTGTGCGTATATTCCTTGTGTCACAATGATCAGTTGTTTGTTTGTGGGAGAAAGACTTGGGCAACCAAAGGTGAGGAGCTTGAAGCAGCCACAAAGGAGTATATTGAAATACTCAAGACACTTCAATGTGAGCTAGGAGATAAATCTTACTTTGGTGGCGATAAATTCGGGTTTGTAGTGTCCTGATTGGATACTACAGTTGGTTTCCAGCATACCAGAAGTTTGGTAACTTCAGCATCGAACCAGAGTGCTCAAAACTGATGGCTTGGGGCAAAAGGTGTATGCAAAGAGAGAGTGTGGCTAAGGCTTTGCCTGATTCTGAGAAAGTTGTTGGATACGTTTTACAGCTTAAGAAGTTTTATGGTATCGAGTAAAAGTTGTTGGTTTATTTTGGGCTTTGGCCCGTGATGAATTATAATCCATAATTAAAAAAAAAAAATTAAAAAGAGAGAAGATCTCTTTTAAAATTGCCGTTTCTGTTCTGTTTAGCTATTTTGTTGTGTTGTGTTGTGTGTTTCTAATTAATAATGAAATAGAGTCTTGTTATAAAATTCGGATGCTTTGTTTTGTTTAAATTCTATGTTTGGTCATCATAGATTTAAAAGTACTCCATTTATTTTGCTTTACTTTGGAAACAAAAACAAGTTTTTTGCTGTGATCAAGTTTGTAGAGTCTAATACTAGTAAAGTAGTAAGTAGTACCATACACTCTGCCATTTGAATTCACTGGCTGGTGTAAGCGTGTGTGTATATGTGGAAACCAAAATAAAATATAAATTTTTTATGTTTTGAGTTTAAAGTTGTATGGATTAAGCAAAGAGATTAGTGTCGTGTATTTTTTATTAACACAAGACAAAGAACAGATAAGCATAATGACGTAAGCAGTGGCCTAAGCATTTTCTTTTTTAAACTCTGTTTAATATAAACATATAGAATTCAATAACATTGTGTTGACTTGTTTAACGTTCACACCTTGCTTGCTACGTGCCTTAGCTTCAAAGACTTCAATTAAATTTTCAATTTTATTCAGAGCCAATAATTATATATACATCAGCAGCGCATACAAATTTCCTATAGAAAAGGTTTAAGCAAAATCCATCAAAGAAGAGATTCTTCTTCACAATAATGGCGGATGAAGTGATCCTTCTGGATTTCTGGCCGAGTCCATTCGGAGTAAGAGCGAGAATCGCGCTGAGAGAGAAAGGAGTTGAGTTTGAGTACAGAGAAGAGAATCTGAGAGACAAGAGCCCTTTGCTTCTCCAGATGAATCCGGTTCACAAGAAGATTCCGGTTCTCATCCACAATGGAAAACCGGTCTGCGAATCCATGAACGTTGTTCAGTACATCGACGAGGTTTGGTCCGACAAAAACCCTATCCTCCCTTCTGATCCTTACCAGAGAGCACAAGCCAGATTTTGGGTCGATTTCGTGGACACCAAGGTACTAAATCCAAAATCTCTGTTTAGGGTTTTGTTTGTAGACTCGTAATTGAAAATGGTTTTGGGTTTGATCTGTGAATTGGTGCAGTTATACGAGCCAGCGGATAAGATATGGCAAACGAAAGGCGAGGAACAAGAGACAGCGAAGAAAGAGTATATTGAAGCACTTAAGATTCTTGAATCTGAGCTTGGAGACAAACCTTACTTTGGTGGAGATACCTTTGGGTTCGTAGACATTGCCATGACTGGATATTACAGCTGGTTCGAAGCATCAGAGAAATTAGCTAACTTCAGCATCGAACCAGAGTGTCCTACACTGATGGCTTCGGCTAAGCGGTGTTTGCGGAGAGAAAGCGTGGTTAAGTCCCTTCATGATTCTGAGAAGATCCTTGCGTTTGCCTATAAGATTAGGAAGATATACTGTGTCTAAAAGTCTTATTGATTCCATCTCAAGTTTCTATGCTCTATATTTTCTTAAAAGTCTGTGAGTATTGTCTTTTTCTTTTCTTTTCACGATTGAATATTTGTTTCTTGTTACACAAGAATATGGTTCCTCTATTTTGAAGAGGTCTACAGTGTTGTACCTAGGCTCATATAGGCCTTAAGCAACAAACTTAAAAAGTGTGATCCTTGTTAAAAAAAAACTAAAAATATAGATATATTTCATATTATTGTCTCAAAAATAGTGATAATGAAAAGTTTTCATGGATGAAAATGTTGTCCAATAATTGATAATTTTATTGTGGCTATAGGCAAATGCCTTATTCGAAAGTAGGTCCATCTATTCTTATCTTTTGTAAAAAGTTGATTGAAATGGAGAATTAGATTCGAAACTCTTTCTTTATCTTGGCTCTATAATTACCACTCTCTCTCTTCCTCACTGAGCTTCACCGCCAGCTAAAAATGGCGGAAGAGATTATCCTATTGGATTACTGGGCGAGTATGTTTGGGATGAGGACAAGGATTGCTCTGGAGGAGAAAGGAGTGAAATATGAGTATAGAGAAGAAGATCTGAGTAACAAAAGCCCTTTACTTCTTGAGATGAACCCTATTCACAAAAAGATTCCGGTTTTGATTCATAAAGGTAAACCGATCTGTGAATCGATAATCCAAGTTCAGTATATCGACGAGCTCTGGCCCGACACAAACCCGATTCTTCCTTCGGATCCCTACCAGAGAGCTCAAGCTAGATTTTGGGCAGATTACATCGACAAGAAGGTTACATTTTCTCTTATACGTTATTTAAGTTCTTTGCACTATAATCCCTTAAATGTATAAGTAAGTACGTAACAAATGATGTTTTGGACAAAGCTGTGATCAGACATACGTACCATGCAAGGCTTTATGGTCAGAAACAGGGGAGAAACAAGAGGCAGCGAAGATGGAGTTCATTGAAGTACTCAAGACACTTGATTCAGAGCTTGGAGACAATCCTTTCTTTGGAGGAAACGAATTTGGACTTGTGGACATTGCCTTTATCGGATTCTATAGTTGGTTCCGTACTTACGAGGAGGTAGCAAATCTTACCATCGTAGCAAAGTTTCCTAAGCTAATCTCGTGGGCACAGAGGTGCTTGAAGAGAGAGAGTGTGGCTAAGGCCTTGCCTGACTCTGATAAGGTTCTTAAGTCTGTCTCTGATCATCGGAAGATAGTTTTAGGAATCGATTAGTTTCATGTATAGAAGAATTTCCTCTGTTTTGATTTCCTCTGTTTTTCATGTTTTTATTTTCTGGTTACAAAATGTGGTGTGTATTTCAGGTTTTTCAATAAGTTGGGTATAGACCGATGTATGTTTGTGGTGGGATTTGAGTGACGCATAAGTTAGATTATGTTGTGGGTGATACTAAATTATCATTTGTATTAGTGTATAAAACGGGTGGTTTTGTAATAATGACGTAACGTTCATCTCATCACATTAGTATCACGTGACTGTCACGTGCTCAAAAGGATATTTCCTTTTTGTTTTTTGCGTCCAATCTATATATAATAGCAATCGAATAAATACCATTTACAAATCTGAACGGTTGCGTCTTTTTATCGCAACCTTTCGTTTAAATCGGTTATTTTTTTACGGTTATTTTGGTTGCGTCTTTTTATCGCAATTTTCGTTTTAATCGGTTATTTTTTTACGGTTATGTCGTTTCCAATAAATACCATTTGCACATCTGAACGGTTGCGTCTTTTTATTGCAACCTTTCGTTTAAATATTTATGGTTGTTTTTCTTACAATTATTTTTGTACGGTCATGTTGTTTTATTGAATTTTTTTTTACGTAAACCAATAAACTACATATAAAATTGGTTTTATTTCATAGTTTATATATGGATATATTTAGTAGTATAACCTCCTTAATTATATCAATCATTTAAACATTTTGCTATGCTGATGTAAACTATGAAATAATTCACCAGTCATTCGTAGTTACATTCGTATGCTGATGTTAATGTTTTTTTTTAATATTTTAATCATCTACCGTCGGTGTAACTTTTCATAAATTATTATTTTTAATTTTTTATTTTAAATTACTAAAATATAACTACTTAATTGAATTGTTGCAACATTTGGTTTTGTTTTAGGAACCATTATAATCTTTAGTGTATTTGATGAACCATTGCAACTTTGGATATATTTAATATATACGGTCGCGTCTCTCGGTTAAAGTTTATCATTTTAAAAAAAAAAAAATTACTAAAATATATTTAAATGAATTGTTGCTACCGTTTAATTTAACATAGTAGCATTTGGTTTGTTAGTAGAACTAATGAACATTTTGGCTTATTTATCAAAATCATTGTAACCTTTAGTTTATTTGATGTCTTTTGTAATAGTTTCTAGTTACAAATTAATGTTTTTTAATACTAATATACTTAATAAATGCTTGTGAAAGTTTTTATTATCATAATTTTCGTAAAATATTTATTGATTTATTACTAAAAAAAATCTAAATTGTTACAATTCATTATGAATTTTCGTTTGATATTTTTTAAACGATTTTTGAAGTACTTTCTCCCGCGACATCGCGGGGGTCCTGATTCCTAGTTATATAAAAAGGAAATATTTGACCTCAATATCCTTTTTGTTTGATTTTTAAAAGAAATTTCCTTTTCTTTCAGTCATTAACCTTTCATTATAAATATACTAATCTCTTCTTAAAAATCGAAATTGTCATCCTTTTCTTTCAGTCATTAACCTTTCATTATAAATATACTAATCTCTTCTTAAAAATCGAAATTGTCATTCGTCGATGAGCAAAACCCTAAAATGCTCTTCTTCTTCTTCTTCTTCTTCTTCTTCTTCGGATTTTTCTCCGACCAACTTTTAGTCGATCATTAGAGAGGGCAAGGAGATGTTTAAAGGTTAATCTGGGATTATAAGTTAGGGATTCAGGGTTACGGTGATGAAGTTGTGGCCGAGATATGAGAGAACACGACGGAAATTGACAACGATCGAGATGGAGGAAAATACTTCGTCGGAGATTATTTGCGATGATATCACACAACGGCTATTTTGGGTGATGTCATACAACTACAAGGGCTATTTTGGAATTTGGTTGAGTATGGAGAACAAAGGACTATGGTGAAGATTCGTGAGAAGATCACATAGTCATTTGATCGTTAGCGATTTCACAAGTTCAATTTGTTTTCTTATCGTTATGTGAATTTAGCATTTTAGTTTTTTTGTTTGTTTTTTTTACACTAGATTTACAAAACGATATGAAAACTAACCGGACTTTGGATCCCGTCAATTGACATAGTCATTTGATCGTTAGCGATTTCACAAGTTCAATTTGTTTTCTTATCGTTATGTGAATTTAGCATTTTAGTTTTTTTGTTTGTTTTTTTTACACTAGATTTACAAAACGATATGAAAACTAACCGGACTTTGGATCCCATCATTTGACCTAGTCATTTGATCGTTAGCGATTTCACAAGTTCAATTTGTTTTCTAATCGTAATGTAAATTTACCATTTTTGTTTTTTAAGTTGTTTTTTTTAGACTAGATTTACAAAACGATATGAAAAACTAACCGGACTTTAGATCCCGTCATTTGACCTAGTCATTTGATCGTTAGTGATTTCACAAGTTCAATTTGTTTTCTAATCGTTATGTAAATTTAGCATTTTTGTTTTTTTTTTTGTTTTAGACTAGATTTACAAAACGATATGAAAACTAACCGGACTTTGGATCCCGTCATTTGACCTAGTCATTTGATCGTTAGCGATTTCACAAGTTCAATTTGTTTTCTAATCGTTATGTACATTTAGCATTTTTGTTTTTTTTTTTTCTTTTGAACAAACTGCATTTTTGTTTTTAAGTTGTTTTTTTTATACTAGATTTACAAAACGATATGAAAAACTAACCGGACTTTGGATCCCGTCATTTGACCTAGTCATTTGATCGTTAGCAATTTCACAAGTTCAATTTGTTTTCTAATCGTAATGTAAATTTAGCATTTTTGTTTTTTAAGTTGTTTTTTTTAGACTAGTAATGTAAATTTAGCATTTTTGTTTTTTAAGTTGATTTTTTAGACTAGATTTACAAAACGATATGAAAAACTAACCGGACTTTGGATCCCGTCATTTGACCTAGTCATTTGATTGTTAGCGATTTCACAAGTTCAATTTGTTTTCTAATCATTATGTAAATTTAGCATTTTTGTTTTTTGTTTTAGACTAGATTTACAAAACAATATGAAAAACTAACCGGACTTTGGATCCTGTCATTTGACCTAGTCATTTGATCGTTAGTGATTTCACAAGTTCAATTTGTTTTTTAATCTTTATGTAAATTTAGCGTTTTTTTTTTTTTTTTTTTTGTTTGATTTTATACTAGGTTTACAAAACGTTATGAAAACTAACCGGACTTTGGATGCCGGTTATAAAAAATCAACGATTGGTGTATAGAAAAGGTTGAAGCAAAATCCATCAAAGAAGAGATCCTTCTTCACAATAATGGCGGGTGAACTGATCCTTCTGGATATTACAGCTGGTGACTGGATATTACAGCTGGTTCGAAGCATCAGAGAAATTAGCTAACTTCAGTCCTTGTTTAATAAGTTGTTTAATTGGATTTGTACGAAGGAATGATGTTTTGGAATGATGTTTCTAACTATAATCCCTTAAATGTATATATAAAAGTACGAAGGAATGATGTTTTGGACAAATCTGTAATCAGGACATACGTACCATGCAAGGCTTTATGGTCAGAATTAGAAACAGGGGAGAAACAAGAGGCAGCGAAGATGGAGTTCATTGATGTATTCATCAAGACACTTGAATCGGAGCTTGGAGACAAATCTTTCTTTGGAGGAAACGAATTTGGACTTGTACCACTACAGGAAAATTGAGTATTCTTAGCGGTCGAATAACGCTATCTAACGAGACAATAGCGAAGTAGAAAGCGCTATATCTGCGCCCATGATAATAGGTCGACGGCTTCCGATAGCGTTTTTTTGTATTGCTATATTTTGTATGCAATGTTATATGCTTTGATAACGAGTATATTTTGTTATTAATCATCTAATAACAGCGTTGTTTTACTGTTACTTTTGCTATTATAATAGCAGTTTTATCTCGCAATTTTTTCTACTTAAATAACGTTTACAATATGCAATAAATTTTTTTTATTTATGTAACAATTCCTATAATTGTTCCATGGATTTTCTTTTTTAATTTTTGGATAATTTGACAATTTAAAAATAATATAAATGACATATTTATATGAAACCATGATATAAAAGACCTATATATTACCAAATAAAAGATAGTTTCATACAACGATAGTTATCATCAAAAATCTCATTGTTCTCTCCATCTTGTTTCTTCGACTTCAATCCTTTCTCTTATACTTAGCTTTTTGTCGTAGGAACAACCAGTGGAAACATGCACGAAGACGACGCAGACGTATCAACTTCATCGATTTCTTCAAGTGATAAAAAACCTGCATAGACAAAGTAAAAAGTTTATCACTTTCAGCCAAATAACAAGCCAAGCAGCGACTCCACCCATAAATTTGCTTCCTCCTTTACCAAGAGAAATGTCCTTAGGTGCCTTTGACATACATAAACACCCGAATAGATTAGTAACATATTTTGAGGCATTAAACCATACCACAAAAACAAAACGACAACAACATAAAGCTTTCTTTCAGCCTCTGTACTCTACAAAGATAAAGTCAAAGAAATCTGAAAACAAAAACAGAGACATATAATACATTTTTTACCGTGATCGAGTGGCCTTGGTTTGCGCGAATCAAGAGCTCTCCATTCTCATCTGAGGCTAAAACGTTGTTTATTGTCCCTTCTCACAGCCTGCAAGTTTAACAGTCCCAAACGAAACTATCACATACTCATCTCAAACGCAACGTTCGTTGAAAAAATCATAGTGAAACTGACCTCTCCATTTCATCAACCGTATGTGACTTCAATTGGATTTTTGCGGACGTTTTCAAATGCAGCTTAAGTAAATCTTCAACATTAATAAAACCATCACCGCTCATAGTCAAGCTCAGCTCAGTAGCCATATGTCTCAAGATTCGAGTCCTGAATATATATCCATCCAAAGTAAGCTAAATCACTACAATACATCTCAAATCAGTAATTATCGCTCGCACTTACAAGAGTCTTCCAAGTGCATCGATTTTATCATTTCCGCCGCGACCCTGAGGTCTCCATTCGATCGTTCTCTCTCTCTCATAGCCTCCTCCTCCTAAGCATTAGCAAACGATTTGGATCAGAATTGCAAGAAAATCAATACAAGGAAAATTTGGGACCAAAAAAAAAAAAACCCCATCTTATTCACAAATCTTGTCTCAAACACACAGAAATTGGCTATACTGGAATTATCGAATTGGATTGGAGGACTTTGCATCATGACTCGTCACAGAATTCGAAGATCTGAAGCAGATTGTTGCATTGACGAAGAGAACTAAAGGTAGTGGGAAGAGAGGATGCCCGACTAGGTCATCAGATTTGAGAGGGTTTGTGTTGTGGTACTTTCGGAGAAGGAGGATGCTGATTATTGGAGGAAGGAGATGAGTTGATTTGAAAGAGGGCTAAGTGTTAGGTTAAAATGTTTAGACTATGTGTGTCGTTTAAGTGTTAGGTTAAAATATTTTTTTTTTATTATTGTTTTTTTTATTACTTGGGCGGGGGAATGAAATTTTAGATAAATTTTCCTTACAAATTGGGCGGACAGTGAAATTTTCTTATTTGTGGTTAATATACGATGACGTTTATAATTGTATATGCTATTACTGAGTAAATGAAAAACACAAAATTAAGGCTGAGCATAATGTTTTTTATCGTCCAACATATCATAGCGTTTCTTTTATTGTAAACGCTATGAAAAAATCATGCATAAGTCAACTATAGCAGAAACACATAAACTGCTATAATCAAGTGCTATTAATACCCGTATTTCTTGTAGTGCATAGACATCGAGTATGTATAATGATGATGATCATTCATCATATACATGCCACAGGCATTGTACAACACACAGTTGCAACAAGCACAATATTATCAGCAGCAACAGCAGCTTTATGGAGGAGGAGCAACATCACCATCATCATCAGGAACTATCATGCCTTCTCCATACTATTATGGCTATTCTCTTCAAGCTCCTAGAGTACCATACCAACATCATCATCATCTTCCTCAACCATATAACCCTCAGCAACATCATCATCAACGGTTTTCTTCTCCTTCTTTCCTCGTTTACCCATCCAATTCCTCTTTTACCCCTCATCTCCAAGGACTACTCTCTTCTTCCACCGGTACGTACTTAATTACCCTCGTCAACTCCTTTTTTTTTTTTCTTTTTCTTCTTCATATTTCTTTGTATATATGTCTACTCATACTAATTAATTTTAATTTAGAAACCCATATAACTTAACATAATATCAAAACCTCTAGATTTCTCTTTATAAAGTACATTCATCAATCACGATATCATCTAAACCCTAGATTGTTAATTAGTCCAAAATAGAGTGTGTTCTTGACCCAAAAAGTGTCATCTCGAAATGGTACTAGAAGAACTATCATATCGAAAATAGGTGTTAGAAATCTCACGTCTTAAATAAAATGTGCTCTAATGCAATAACTAGGTGACATAAATCGTCAATAATCTATTCATATGAACAATTAGTTTTAACTTTTAAGTTAAAATTCCTAACATTAACGTTATTATATTATTTGTCAGTGTTTTCTCTTAAAATATTTGTCCCTCTTATAAGAACGACACCGTTTATATCATCACGTGTGATTGCATTGATCATTCATGCACGTAATTGATCCTTTATGCTGTCTTAAACTCGAAAAAGAAACATATATTTGATGCACTCTAAGCAAAAAAAAGAAAGGGATGTGGGTTGAAATGGAAAAGAAAAGGAGAGTGAATGATTGGAGAGAACAGTGAATAAAGGATAGCATGTGGAGTGAGCTGTCTGTTTCAATTACATTGGTATATGTGTCTCTTCTATCATCTGTCAATTTGGTCGCCAATCGTCATGCCAGTGAAGCCACCATACACTGACAACATCTACCCAAACGTATATTTATGTTTGTATATATGCATATTCGTTTTGGACACTTTTGTGTGTGTCTAAATCTAACATATTGATCATTGCATTTGGTTTTTGTTACCATTTTCAGTATCATCCTATTATCCTTTATCTAAATTATTCATCTAAATCAGATTAAGTTGCAACATTAGTATGAACTATTGTCTGATTTTATATGTGTTTTTTGTTTTGTTTCCTCCAGATTCTGAAGCAGTACCACAACAAGTACCAGCTACAGAAGGCGAAGCAACAACGACTGCTCCTGAAATTACAACCATCAACACCAAAGAACCTATTTCTTCCTGATCTTTCTTTCATTTCCCAATTTGTACAATCTTCACATTTTTACCTCTCTCTCTCTCTCTCTCTCTCTGAAAAAAAAACCCAGCTAATTCATTTATTTCTCAACAAAAGTAATGGCTTGAGCCCCAAGAATACAGACTCAAGACTGTCAAACCTAAAAGACGGCTCAAGAGAAATCTCTTGTCATATTTTGCTCTTTTTCTGACGAAATATATATAAAAATTTGAGTTCTTCATATTCTTTGTTTACTCATTTATTTTATTTCTTATAATTTCAACTTTATGCTATATGATCCTTTATATCCTCTTATTTTCTTGGGAGTTTCAATATGGATCTACACATATAATTATATAATCCAAAGTGAGAAGACACTACTGTATATAGATAATTGCAACTTGCAAATACTTTTACAATTGTGATTAAAGCCAGCCCAAATGATATTGGGAACAATTCTAGTGGGCCTTTCGATACGTAAAGCCCAATTAGGTCGATCTAATCGTGACCTGTTAGGACTTTGTTAACCACCGTTTCAAAATTCACGTACGATGATCCCAACGGTGGCGCCGAAGCTTCTTCCGCCATGCACCGCCACTCCACCACCTTCTCTCTTAATCTCATTCCCTTCTCTCCATCCATGAGCTCTTTGACCACCGCCTCCACTCTCTCCCTCTTTACCTCCTCGCCGATCTCAATCCCAATCCCCCAATTATCGCAGCAGAACTTTCGATTCGTCAACTGATCGGCGAAGAACGGCCAACAGATCATCGGAACACCGGCGAACAAACTCTCCAACGTCGAATTCCATCCACAGTGAGTCAAAAATCCTCCGATCGCCGGATGCGAAAGTACCTTCTCCTGAGTACACCATCCTCTGATCAACATTCCTCGATTCTCCGTCTCCGATAAAAACTCCGCCGGAAGAATCGAATCATCTCCGTCGACCATACCAGATCGCACCACCCAGAGAAACTCTTTCCCGCTCCTCGCTAAACCCCAAGCAAACTCTAAGATCTGATCTCTCGTCAAAACCGTTAGACTCCCAAAGTTAACATAAAGCACAGTTTTCTCAGCTTTAGTATCAAGCCAATCCAAAGATTCCGTCTCTTCTTCCCATAGATTCAATCCCAATTTTCCGATTTCGCTGTTCTTATCGATTTCGCGATTCTCCAGAATCTGGAGCGGTCCAACGGAGTAGATCTGAGGAAGAAGAGATAAGAGAACGTTATGCTCGAGGTTATCGAAAGTGTTGATGAAGATCGCAGAAGCTCGTTTGATTCTTCCAGTTACATGGAGGATGAAACTAATCATCGGATCTTGAGGATCCGTCGTGGTGACGAAATCTGGAAAATCCTTAAGCTTAATCTTCTTCATCGACGGTATCCAATCAATCTCCGTGTCTAAATGCTTCTTCAAGTCACTCGAATCTGGTGGAATTCGAAATTGTTACTGAGAATTTTTCAGATGATGATTCAATCGAATGATCGATTCATACATACATACCTTTGAGAGGAATTATCTCTTTCTCGATGAGTTTTTGATAATGGAGATACAAGATCAAAGCAGTAGCACTGTTTGTCCAGAGGAGAACCACTGGAATTTTAAGCTCCTCCGCCGCGTCAATTGTGAAGCTCATTGAAGCGTCAGAGACGATACAGCTAACCGGTGGTACATCAGAACCGGAGTTTAACCGGAGGATGAGGTCTTTGAATGGAGCTAGACAGTTGTTGATTGTGGAGTCAATAAGCTTGGGCATATCTTGCTTAGCGTCGACGTCGGTCCGAGGAAGACCATCAGGAATAGTTTCGAAGCGAAAAGAGGGTAGCCCGTCGAGAGCGTGAGAGCCACGTGAACGGAGGATACGGCGGTGGTTGTATTCGGTGTTGACGAAAGTGACGTGGAAGCCTCTGGCGTGGAGGAGCTTGGCTAGTTTCAGCATTGGGTTGATGTGGCCTTGTGCTGGATAAGGTATGCACACTGCGTGACGTTTTTGTGAGCTAGAACCGCCATGTTGTTCCATTCTTTTGACGATAATGATGATGGATTCTGCAATGTCCGGTGTATCGTCCCGTGATTGATAGAAGAAGAGAGTGAAACTTTGAAACCGATTGGTATAGTTTTGGATGAGGCTTGATACTTGTCTAGTTTTTGATTCTAATAGCAGCCCATAAGGCCCATAACTGAAGGACTACGCGTCGTTTTTAGTTCTCTGCATCTATGTCTGCGAAACGTCTTCGTTTATTTTTTAAGGTTCCCGAGTTTAGCGTTTCCGCGTTTTATCACTTTATAAACGATCTGCGTTATCTAAACGCGATGTTCCCTTCTTATCAGATTCTATTATTAAAACGACGCCGTAACTTAACTCGATATCGTTAACGCGTACAACGTGCGCCAAGGCATTTACGCGCACTCGGTGACCACACGAGACTCGGATCATCACGCGCCACCGCGTGGAGAAAAAGCTGAGTGTTTCAAAATTCCAGGAAGAAGAAAAAAGCAATCAGATCCCAGAGAGAGTTCGAAATTCCGTAGAAGCTTGTAGCCAATGACGACGTTAGGACAAAGAGATCGCCGACCAGAGGCTCTTGGTAGTCTCAGTGTTCTACCAGATGAGACCATCTGTGTTCTTCTCGAATACCTTGCTCCCCGAGATATTGCTAACCTCGCTTGTGTCAGCAGGTAATCTAAATACTCTTGACTTATTGATCGAATTAAAATCAAAGAATTGATCAAAATTAGAGTCTAATTAGATCAATTCGAATTCTTAGGAAGTCAGGATTTTGATCGTTATTATGAACAGATTAGGATTTGTTGAGGCAATGTTTGTGATTAATCTGTTATTTATATGTTTGATGTACAGTGTCATGTATATTCTCTGTAATGAAGAACCATTATGGATGAGCTTGTGTCTCAGAAGAGCAAAAGGTCCTCTTGAATACAAAGGTTCTTGGAAAAAAACCACATTGCATCTGTAAGTACTTTGAAATTACCTCTCGTTTTATGTTCAATGATGCATACGATTTGTCTTCAGATATATGACTGATTGGTTTTCCGATATACAGAGAAGGAGTTGCTCAAGAAAATGACGCATATAGAAAACCTTTTCATTTTGATGGTAAATGCAAAGTTTACTCGTTGTTTCAGAATGATCATATGACTTCTTGGTTTATTCCATACTCTTATGATATGATCGTTTTGGTTCTCTCGTTTTTTTTCTGCTCACTTACTCTGCTCTTTTGCAGGATTCATGTCGATGTACTTGTATAAACGATTCTATAGGTGTAATACATCTCTTGACGGGTTCTCTTTTGATGATGGGAATGTGGAACGTAGGAGAGATATCTCCTTGGATGAGTTTTCCAAGGAATATGATGCCAAGAAACCTGTAAGTTCCTATCTTTTCATTCATGTATATATATGCAAGGTTTATTTTGATCTGTTACACTTTTTCAGACATGTGATTTTTTTTGATGTTGTTCCTGTCTATGGTTTAGGTTTTGCTTTCTGGCCTTGCTGATTCTTGGCCAGCCAGTAAAACGTGGACAATCGACCAACTCTCAGAGAAATATGGTGAAGTCCCTTTTAGAATATCTCAGAGGAGTCCCAACAAAATTTCTATGAAGTTCAAGGATTACATCTCATATATGAAAACCCAGCGGGATGAAGATCCTCTATACGTTTTCGATGACAAGGTACAAGAAACAATTTTGTTTTTTACATTAGACTTCATTCACGTCAGTGATAGAGTTGCAGCAGAACCGAAACTTTGTAGTGAGAATATTTGAAGGATTCACGTTTCATGTAGTTTGGAGAAGCTGCTCCCGAATTATTGAAAGACTATAGTGTGCCCCATTTGTTTCAAGAAGATTGGTTTGAAATCTTAGACAAGGAAAGTCGTCCTCCATACAGATGGCTTATAGTTGGTCCGGAGAGGTCTGGTGCATCTTGGCATGTCGATCCAGCACTTACCAGCGCCTGGAACACCCTGCTTTGCGGTCGGAAAAGGTAGACGTCTTTTTGTGCTTGAACTAAGTATTTGACTTACTAATTGTTAGGAGACTCTTTATGAAACTGATATATTTGTCCTTCACATACAAGTTAGGACAACAATATAGAACAGATTACTGGCACTCCAAGCCTGCTGTATGAACTTAAATCAAACATTTCATTTTGTTAGTGATCATAATTTTAACTCATAGGATCGTTGCCGTTTTAGCTATCAGATCTCATAAAATTGGGTTGGTAAGGGACTCTGATCAAACTCGGTAGTTTCTACACTCCTTGATCTCAATTTTTTGGACATTTGTAATACATTTATGCCTCTTCCTCTTTCCTGCATCAAGTTCGTGTTCCCTGCATTGCTTCACTGGAATTGGTGATACTATATTCTGAGGATGATGCCATTATGTTTTAGGTGGGCATTGTATCCCCCTGGAAAAGTGCCTCTAGGTGTTACAGTTCATGTAAATGAAGATGACGGTGATGTCAGCATCGACACCCCCTCATCTCTGCAGGTATATTTCTGAACCGTTCAAGCATCGGCATTTCAGTTCTTCTTTACTGTATCCTGTTGAATGTTTTCGATCCATGGACAGTGGTGGCTAGACTATTATCCCCTCCTTGCTGACGAAGACAAACCAATTGAGTGCACACTACTAGCTGGTGAAACGATTTATGTTCCAAGTGGTTGGTGGCACTGTATCCTTAATCTTGAACCAACAGTAGCTGTTACCCAGAACTTTGTGAACAAAGAAAATTTTGGGTTCGTGTGTTTGGATATGGCGCCTGGTTACCATCACAAAGGGGTTTGCCGTGCTGGGCTTCTTGCTCTTGATGATGAAAATTCTGAAGATTTGGAAAATGAAACACATGATGAGGACGACAATACTTTAAGCTACTCAGACCTTACCAGGAAAGAGAAGAGGATACGGATGAATGGAGGGGGAGAGACTGAAAACCAAGAAGAGGATGCTAATGCAGTATCAAAGAGATACAATATGTGGAAGAATGGATTCTCGTATAATATTGATTTCCTGGCTTCATTTCTTGATAAAGAAAGAGACCATTATAATTTCCCATGGTCAATGGGGAACTCTGTAGGTCAACGAGAAATGAGAGCCTGGCTATCCAAGCTTTGGGCTTTGAAGCCTGAGATGAGAGAACTAATATGGAAGGTAATGCCTACTCTTTGATGTTTTGGTTTAATGCATTATAAGCATCTCTCCATTATCAATTCTTAGTGCTTTCTCTTTGGTTTCCGTGTTAGGGAGCATGCATTGCTTTAAATGCTGAGAAATGGTTGCGATGCCTAGAGGAAGTATGTACTTTCCACAACTTGCCGTTCGTTACCGAAGATGAAAAGCTTCCAGTTGGAACTGGCAGCAACCCTGTGAGTTTATTCTCTTTTAGGAATCTTTGGCAGAAAAGTTCTTCACTATTCCTAATTATTTCACCGATATGCCCTGACTTCTCTTATTTTTTTTGTAAGGTTTATCTGTTGTCGGACTATGCGATCAAACTGTTTGTTGAAGGAGGGCTAGAACAATCTATGTACGGTCTTGGAACTGAGGCAAGTAATCTTTATACAATACTTTGGCATCCCATGTGCAATTTTTATGATTGTAACTCTATGTCTTCTTTTGTGCAGCTTGAGTTTTATGACATTCTTGGCCGGGCTGATTCTCCTTTGAGAACACATATTCCTGAAGTTCTAGAAAGTGGGATTCTTTTCTTCGAAAAAGGATCTTACAAAGTTGTCCCCTGGGATGGCAAGAGAATCCCAGACATTATCTCTAGCTCCAATTTCGATTTTGATGCATCCATGTTAAACAGCGAATTCCCATTTGGTATTTGGAACAAAACGCTACGTGAACATAGAAACCAGGGGAAGCCAGCACCCGATTCTTTTGGTTCATTGAGTTCACATGTTTGGCCGTATATTATAACCAAAAGATGCAAAGGGAAGATTTTTGCCCAACTGTGAGTGTTCTTTTCCTCCTTTTTTCTCTACGCATGACTCATCTTTAAAACCAAATGTATGATCTCTAATTTGAAACTGTTTTTGCAGAAGAGATGATCTAACATGGAACGATGCTCAGAACTTGGCTTCATTTCTGGGACAACAACTGCGCAACCTTCATCTACTTCCATATCCACCAGTCACACGTCCGGAGTTGTTGAATGTGAATGCTGTTCATGAGGAGTTGAACATTCCAGCAGAATGGAAAGTTTTTGTCGATGCTCTGTGCCAAAAGAAGAAAGACGTCACTAGTCGTCTGGAAAACTGGTAAGCTTGAAGTTTTCCGAAATATGACTCTGTTTCCATTTGCGTTGGTCTTGATAAAAGCTTACTCACGGTGATTGTTTTGTTTGAATCTCTCAGGGGAAATCCTATACCTCGGGCTCTGATGACCAAAATAGACGAATACATTCCCGATGATTTTTTTGTAGATTTGCTCCACGTTTTCAAGGTTGCTTCTCTTATCTCTCTCTTTTTTTTTCCAGGAATCTATACCTCCTTAAAATCGAATTAACAGAACCTATTTCTGGTATCACAGGACACAAATGATGGAGATGAAATCAAGCCCTGCACCTGGATACACTCAGACATTATGGATGACAACATTCACATGGAACCATTCGCAGATGATTCAGTTGATGGGCAACACAATTCATGGCGTCCCAGTCATATTCTCGACTTCAGCGATTTATCCATAGGTACGTTTCATTTAAAAGATCTCTCTCCGAATTCATAATCTAAATGCCAAAGTTTTGGAGAGTTTTCTGAAAGAGTGAGGAAATTGCAGGAGATCCCATCTGCGACTTGATACCAATATACTTGGACGTCTTTAGAGGAGACGCTGATCTTTTCAAGAAGCTTCTAGAAAGTTACGGGCTTCCATTAATCAGAAGTAGATCCCCGGAGAACGGAACAACAAAAACAACAGACAGTACGAGGAAGAAAGTATTGTGTCCTTCCTACCGTACAATGTAAGTAGTAAAAACTGTCATAAACATAATTAATAGCCATGAATGATGCCTTTTCAAT